TGCTCAATATTACTATTAGTCATTAGAGAAATGCAAATTAATACCATAATGAGATACATCTTCACACCCATTAGGATGGCTAGTACCAAAAAAGAGAAGCATATTAGCAAGAATGTGTAAAAATTAGAATGTAAAATAGCACAGCCGCTTTGAGAAGTGGTTGGCAGGTTCATCCAAATGTTATACAAAAATTATCATAGCTGTAGTAATTCCACTTCTGAATCAAGGTACTGAAGAGTTTATGTATAGTCTTGTTCATATAAGCATCATTCATAGCATCCAAAAGGTAACAAAGTATCTATCCAACACGACAAGAGAGCAACAAAATGTGATAGATACATACAGTGGAATATTATTCAGCTCACAGAGGAAATTCTACACATGCTAAAGCATGAAGATGGGATATCACACAAACTAAGCCAGTCACAAAGGACAAATATGATTCTGATATGAAGCTCAGGGTGGTCAAATGATAAAATCAGAAAACAGAATGCTGACTGCCAGGTGCTAGAGGTCAGGGTTAGGGTTGGGTGGAGGGGGAATTTAATGAGTACCTAGTTTGGGTTAGGAGTCTAGCAAACTGGAAAGGTCCATGTCTAACATGTACAAGGCTCTACCTTGAGTCCCCGGCACCACTCATGAACACATAAAGTTCTGAAAATGGATGGTGGTAATGGTTGCACAACAATGTAAATATACTTAAATGTCAAGGAATTATATGGTTAAAAATAATTAACGGGAGGCAGAGGCAGGCGGATCTCTGTGAGTTCGAGGCCAGGCTGGACTGACAGCCTCCAAAACAATACAGAGAAATCCTGTCCAGCAAAACAAACAAACAAAAAAATTAAAATCTCAGCTGAAGAGATGTCTTGGCAGTTAAGAACACTGGAGGCTCTCCAGACGACCTGGTACGTGGTAGCTCACAATTATCAATCTGATGCCCTCTTCTGACCTCCTAGGGCACTGTACACACATGATGCACAGACATACATGCAGACAAAATACCTATACACATGAGGATGGTGACAGTAAGAAGGGCAATGATTGATGATGATGTAGAGGAAACAAAGTATAGAATTATTCTAAGAGAGAGTTTTAAGTTGACTTTAAGAGAGGTGTGCTAAGCCGGGCATTGGTGGCGCACGCCTTTAATCCCAGCACTCGGGAGGCAGAGGCAGGCGGATCTCTGTGAGTTCGAGGCCAGCCTGGTCTACAAGAGCTAGTTCCAGGACAGCCTCCAAAGCCACAGAGAAACCCTGTCTCGAAAAAACCAAAAAAAAAAAAAAAAAAAGAGAGAGGTGTGCTAAAATCATCCTTACCCACAAATCTTTAAATACCCAGATAAAAATCCTAATATTTCATTACAAACACCTGAATTTCCTAATCCAAGATTCTTAACTGCACTGTAGTTCACCAACTGTAGCCATGACCTTATGCAAACCTCACTTGGCAGTGTAAACCAAATTAGGGCAAAACAGATGATTAACCATATAGTATTCAGTGTTTGGTTTGTTTCTAGCTGTAGTCGTAGGAAACTGGGAATCATCAACTATTAAAATAAATAATGCTTTCAGTCACCAAGTAAACAATATTACTGTGACTTCATTTTACTGTAGTGTGTATAATGCTTCTCATTCTAATGGAATAGACCAGGGTCTCACTAACAAAAGTAGGGCTATTATTGATAAATTTTAAATCACACGATAATCTAAGCCTAGGACAGACAACTAGAAGTTAGGGTCTCCTGTTCCCTGCTATTTACAAGTCATCAGCTCAGTGCCCCTGCTCGTATCGTTTTTCTTAGTCTGTATTTTAGCCTATATTTTAGTCTAAGTCATTTCTCAGTCAGCTACACTGCATCCTTCTGCTGAAGTGCCCGAGCATCAAACTGCAACTCCTCCCATTGGTCAGAGTTCACTTACTAAGAGAACCTCCAAACAGGTGCACGTACAAAGAGCTGGGGAGACTCAGGAGGACTGTGACCACACTTTCCTTCTTGGTAACAGGGATTCCTAGGCCTAGGTTGGTGATGTGCACCTGTAAATTCAGTACCAGAGAAAGATGGAAGTAGGAAAGATTGTATGTTTAAGACCAGCCTGGACTATGAAGCAAATTCAAAATCAGCCTTGGCTACTAGCGCTTGAGCCTTGAGTACAAAACAAGTTCAAGGCCAGCCTGGGATACTGAGATCTGTCTCACAGAAACAAACAACACAGAATGTACAGGGGGAAGGGAGGCAAGCCCTCTAAATGAACCTTAGAGGTTCCACAGGGTATCTTACTCTTCTTATGAAAGGACACAACAGTTCCCAGGGGAGGAACGAGCATGGGCTCTGTTTGTTGGTGACATCAGGTGTTCCAATTAAAATAGCTGCTCTATGCAGCTGTGTTTTCAAAATCTGCTAAGGATCAAACAGGAAGAAAGGGTTGTTTAAACACAAATAACTTTGATCACGGGAGAAGCAGCATGACTAAGCCACAAAAGAAGTGGAAAGCAGAGACTGACAGGGCACTTGAAGCTCCAAAGAACGGAAAGGTCTGCTGCTCTGCCTCTGCTGCGGAGGCTCCAAGTAAGGGTGGTCATCAGACTGATCACAGGCCAGGAGATCCAAAGACAGTCTTACACGGTCATCTACTAGTTAGACACCTTCCAACCTGGACATCTGAAAGTTTACCTCCAACTTATCTCATCCCGGGATGGCAAAGAGCACACTCCAGGAAAGGTAACAAGAGTCTGTTCACGATGGCTTAGAAACCCTTCTCATGTGCACATCAGCACAAACAACCTTTAGAAACAGCTGAAATAAACTGTGCACACTACCACAATTGTCTTGCTGAGCCTTTACCCCACAGTATCCCTCAGAGACTTTCTGACACACCCATCCAAGGCCACAGATAACACAAGCTTTAAGAGAAAGACAAAGAAGCAGAAGGAAGCCTGGCTCAGCCATGCCTGTTTTCTCTGTCAGGTAAGAGAGTCCTGAATGAGACAACTGCCTTGACCATGCTCATCAAAGTCATCAGGATCCATCTGCAAGGAAAATCATTTTAGCATTCAAGGACAAAAAAATAGCCAGGCGGTGGTGGCACATGCCTTTAATCCCAACACTCTGGAGACAGAGACAGACAGATCTCTGAATTCAAGACCAGTCTGGTCTACAGAGCAAGTTGCAGGCTAGGCGCCAAAGCTACAGAGAGAAAAACAAACATTAGAAAACCAGAAATTAAAAAAGAAGCATATAGCATATTCCACAGAGTTTAAAGGCTAAAAGCTGAGAGAAGATAGTATATGGAAGACCACCCCAAGCCTGATGTTTAGTGAGTGAAAAGAGATGCTCGCAAGGAGCAATGGTAAACTGCTCTTAGTCTCATCAGTATGTGTCCCTGGTCTGGATTTAGTGTGATAAGATTCAAACACATCTTTCCAATAACCTCTTGAGGATGCTCAATGGTTCCTTGCTCCTTCAGTCAAATACTTAATTAGCACAGTGAAAATGATGTGCTTATTCCTTGCAGCAAGTCCAGTTTGAGAACTGAAAACGAAAGGAGAGGTCTGGCAGTCACGCAGAGACAAGGAAGTGGCCATGGAGACTGGCATCTTTTCAAGGTCAGTTGTTGGGAGAAGGCAGAGAAACTTAACTCATCTGTTTGGAGGCCCTTGGGAAGGGTAAGGGCAGCCGCCAAGGCAGAAACCATTGAAAGCAAAAGCAACAAAATAGAGGATAAAGCAAACAGGCCCCAGGTGAAAAGGAGCTGCCTGGAAAGCCTGTGGGAATGCATGGTCCATAAACACAACACCCTTATTCCTCTCTACCACATGCGTTAGCAGAACCTGATGTTTCATTCAGACATCCATTCTGTCCTACTGCCTATGGGTCACAAGGAGAACTTGGGAGAAGAGTCTGCAATGCCCAATTCTTATAGAAACTCACACTTATCAGAAGGACCCACATGTGTCTTGATTGCCTGCTAGGTGCAGATAATGCATTTATTGGTGAGAGTTATAAGATGTGTTTGCTGCAGAATGTCTCTGGAGGCAGGAAGCAGTCCAGCCTTCATTGCAGTCTTGTGAGCTCACCTCACCCCATGCTCCCTGGTCTCAGCCCACCTAACACATTTCACAGCTTCCCTTTTATTCCCAGATGTGACACACACTGTAGTAAATCATTTCCGAGACAAGATGCTTTAGTTTAAAAGAGAGAAAGAAAGCTAGGAATCAACATCACTCCCTTGCTCTCTCACACATTAGAATCTATACAAAGTTGTAAATATGCATTACTATTATTGGAGTGTCTGGCAAGCCTTACATCTGGAGATAAATCAAGTTCCCCATCTGCTGGGTTTGCCGCTTTTATTCAACGTTAACTTCTTGATTGTTTGCAAAAACAATTTAATAACTGTTGAGAAAAAGGAAAATCACAGGCACAAAAGGAGGAAACAAGGAGAAAGGCAAGCTAAGCTCTCTTCCTGTAGCCCTTTCCCTGCCCTCCTGTGAGTGCTGCTTCCTCCTGACCCTGTGACCCCTATCTGACACAGTTTTACCCAACATCTACAAAATTCTTTTTGGCTATTTCATAAGGAACAAAAAATGACTTAGTCCCAGGTTTTTGTTTGTCTGTGTTTACCTCAAATAGAAATATCTATTTACAGTAAAATGTGAAAGTTCTAGATCCCCATTATAAACCATGGTGAAGAGCAGAGGAAACCTTCAGGGGAAGGAAGCTGGGGGAGCTCATGCATAAAGAACACTTTAGCAACTAAGGTGCCTGCAAAGGGCGTGCAATCATCTCTTGGGCAGAAAATCCACAGAACAGCCAGCACTTTGAGCTATTTCAATATGACAAAATGAAAGCCTCATGTACTCCTGCTTTTCTTGATCAAGTATGACAATTTCTTCCACTCCTACAGACTTCAGGGCTTAAAATAGTAGTGGTGTTCAGAGTGTTCTCCTTGGGAAGGCGCAATAAACCTCAGGATGAGCAAGAAATCCTCATTCCTTACCTGATATTAACCAATGCATGCGTCACCTTGCTAGCTGCTTCCTTCCACTGGCCTGCGTTGGTAGAAAGCCTAAGGACTGTGGAAGGAAAAAATACAGGTCTGTCAAGTTCTTGACACAAAACACAAACAGAGCCAGTGCAACTCTTCTGTTTTAAAACAATCAACAAAGATGGGCTTATAGAAGAGTTCAACTACTTCCTCCAGGAATTTTTTTCTTTCTCTAAATGCTCACTTTCCATCATCAAAGTAGTCATGACTCCTTTTCTGCCTTGAGTTTTTCCTAGGCCTCCCCTGATAATGGGCTCCAAAACTTTGTTTCTATATCATTTAATATACTAAGATGAAGCAATAGCTCAGCTGGCCACAAGCCTGAGTCAGGTTCCCAAAGCCCACAGAAAACATCTGATGTGGTGCCATACACTTGTAATCCCTGCACTGGGGAGTAGGACACAGGTGGACTCCTGGGGCTTGTTGCTGGCTAGCCAGCTTACCCTTCTTGGCAAACCCAGGCCAATGAGGCCCTGTCTAAAATGATGAGGTGCACAGCTCCTGAGGAATGACCTGACACTGACCTCTGGCCTCCATGCACACACACCTGTGCACACACGCACATTCACAGATACCTATAGAAGGGTGGCAATGTGAAGGTAACCTGGTTGCCGTGGCTATCATTTCCCTAATAGCAAGGGTTACACTTGGTTAGCATGGAATTATGCTGACCAGGCTGGCCTCAACCTTAAAGCACTCCTACGGGATGAGTTGGTGTCTCTTCTTGCTCCATGTGTATCTTTATAAACCTAAAGCCATACACCCAGTCAAATAGGACAGATAAATATGATCATGTTTCAATCAAGGAATGAGATACTTTGCTCCTCTAGATTACATTAAGTGACCTGCAAAATTAATCAACAGGACATTCACTATCTGACAAAACTCTCTCTCTTTTTAAAGATTTGTTTATTGATTTTGTATACAGTGTTCTGCCTGCATGCCAGAAGATGGCACCAGATCTCATTACAGATGGTTGTGAGCCACCATGTGGTTGCTGGGACTTGAACTCAGAACCTCTGGAAGAGCAGCCAGCTCTTAACCTCTGAGTCATCTCTCCAGCCCAACAAAACTCTCTTTTACAAACACACTCCCAGCGGGAGAAAAGATTACAGGAACACGTAGTGAGCACACCCCCATAGCTATAGTCTCCAGGTCACTTTGGTACTGTAATCATGCCATTTAGAAGAGACAGAAGTACTCCCTGAATGAACAAACAGAAGACAGGCATTCAAATACATTTTTGTTTTTGCTGTGTTTATTGCATGAACATGTGCACACATGTATACAAGTACATATGTCCTTGCATGGTCATATAAAGACCAGTCATGGACTTCTTGCTTTACTGCTCAGCACCTTAATTTTCTTTAGGTTTTAGTTATTTATTTGTTTGTTTATTGTGATTTTCTGAGATAGGGTTTCTCTGCATAGCTTTGGAGGCTGTCCTGGAACTTGCTTTGCAGACCAGGCTGGCCTCAAACTCACAGAGATCCACCTGCCTTTGCCTCCTGAGCACTGGGATTAAAGGTGTGCACCTCCACTGCCCGGTCACCTTATTTATTTTTAGTTGTACTAATTTATGTGTGAGTGTATGGGTACATGCTTATGGAGGTCAGAGGACAATCTGTGGAAATTGATTCTCTTCTTCTACCGTGGGTCCCAGGGATTGAATTTAGGTTATCAGGCTTAGAGGCAGATACCTTTACCTGCTGTGCCATCTAGCTGGCCCCTCCACCTTGTTTTTGATATAGGTTTCTTACTAAACCTGGAAGGCACTGATTGGCTAGACTAGTGGTAAGACAAGCTTCTGGATCCTGTCTCCATCTCCCCAGCATGGGATTACAGCATATACAGTCATACCTGGCTTTTTAATGTGGCTGTTGCTGACTTGGGTCTTCATGCTTATGCAAAAAGCATTTTACCTACTAAACCAACTTTCCAGCCCCTAAATATGTTCTTAATATCATTGGGTCACAGAGATCAATATGTGGAGTATTTAAAAAGTGTCAGGCACTGGACAAAGCTTATATATAATATAGCATACAGATAGGTGTTATGCAACAATTTTCTCCTGGATTCAAGCATATCATCCTTCAGGAAGCTCCTCAAGCAGGAAGGGAAACAACTCAAAAGAGTTTCAGGAAGTCCCTGAAACTGACCAGACTCACTAGGCCCCTCCCTGAAAAAGTTAACAAGCCAAGCTCCCAAGAGTCACTTGAACACAAGGCAAGCTACAAAGAGGTCTCTTAGATGGGCCAAGCTACAGAGAAGACTCAGAGACCAGACCAGCTGCCTAGAAGCAAAGTTAGCTGTACAGCCTGAAAGCAGTTTAGAGACCAAGCTGGTCTCTAACTCACAGAGATCTGTCTCTGCCCTCTAAATGCTAGGATTAAAAGGGTGTGCCACCATTGCTGGGCTAAAAAAAATTTATTCTTAAGGATTTATTTTATTCGTGTGTGTGTGCGCGTGTGTGTGTGTGTGTGTGTGCGCGCGCGTGTGTGTGTGTGTGTGTGTGTGTGTGTGTGTGTGTGTGTGTGTGTAAGTTCGGGTGGAGGTCAAAAGAGGACACTGGACCAATGCTGACCAGCTGGTATGTCCTGACATATCTGGATCTCTGCAATGCTAGGAACTAATGCCTGCTCTAATGCGTTAACTCCTTCCTGGTTTAGATGTAAACATGATTTTATAGCACAGGTGCTGTGTTTTGTTCTGCTGTGTATTTGTTAATATGACATGGAGCACTGTCCTGGAAGGTACACTATGTGAGATCAGTAGGATCTTTCAACGCTTGAGGGAAGAAAGGCCAGTAATTTCTCAGGGTCTGGAGAAACAGCTTAGCCTGGTTAAGTGCAACTGTTATGCAATCATGAAGACCAGAGTTGACCTATCAGCACTAACGTAACAAGCCAGAGATGTGGTGACATATTATTTAAAAACCTATCCATGACAGTCTAATGTAACTCAGGTTGGCTTTGAATTTGCTGTAAACTCCTTATCTTCCTGTCTCTACCACCCAGCTACTGGGATTACAGGTTTATGACGTGCAAGTTTTCACCCATGTTAGGCAAGCACTCTACCAACTAAGCTACACATATCCCCAAAATATCCCCTGATCTAACTTCCCAAGTACTAGATTACACATCCGCTGTATACATCTAGCAGTTTTCTGTGAGTTCTGATGATAAATCTTAGGTCTTCATGTTTGCTAGGCAAGTACTTTACCAACGGAGCTGTCCCCAGCCAATCGACCCCTGCTTTTTGAGACAAGGTCTAATGTAACCAGGTTGACCTGGAACTCTTTATGCTGATGAGGGTGACCTTGAACTTCTGATTCTCCTGCTTCTACCTCCAGAGTGCTGAGATTACAGGCATGTGCCAGCAACACACCCCTAACAAGGAGCAGTGGGGGATTGAACCTAGGGTTTCCTGCATGCTAGGAAAAGCACTCTACCAGATAAATTATATCCTCAGACTAATAGCGAAATTTTGGGGTAAGTTTCTTCAGTATTTCTTTCTTGTTTGTTTGTTAAAACAAGGTTTCTCTGAACTCACTCTGTAAACCGGACTGGCCTCTAACTCACAGAGATCTGCCTGCTTCTGCCTCCCAAGTGCTGGAATTAAAGGCATGCACCACCACTGCCTGGCAATTTTTCTTTTATGAATGTAATGGTGTGTGATTTTTGTTTTCCATAATTTATTCTATGAATAATAGTTTTAGTTCAAAGTATAGTTATAGTGTGCATGTAGGGGTCAGAGGACAACTTTTTCCCTGTCATCATGGTTCCAATGACTGAAATTAGGTCATCAGGATTGTACAAGTACTGTTACTGCCAACTCATTGCCATCTCATTGCTCCCTGCCCTGCAACACATTTTTAAAAGCATATTGTGTATATGGGTGTGTCCCTGCATGAGTGTGTGTACGTATTGTGTATATGGGTGTGTCCCTGTGATTGTGTGTGCATATTGTGTATACAGGTATGTCCCTGCATGAGTGTGTGTGCATACTGTGTATATGGGTGTGTGCCTGCATGGGTGTGTGTACATATTGTGTATACAGGTATGTCCTTGCATGAATGTGTGTGCATATTGTGTATATGGGTGTGTGCCTGCATGAGTGTGTGTACATATTGTGTATACAGGTGTGTCCGTGTGAGTGTGTGTGCATATTGTGTATATGGGTGTGTGCCTGCATGAGTGTGTGTACATACTGTGTATACGGGGTGTGTGCCTGCATAAGTGTGTGTGCATACTGTGTATATGGGTGTGTCCCTGCATGAGTGTGTATACATATTGTGTATACTGGTGTGTCCCTGCATGAGTGTGTATATACTATGTATACCGGTGTATTCCTGTGAGTGTGTGTACACCTCATGCATGTGCACATGTGCCTGCAGAGGCCAGGGGCATTGGATCCCCTAAAACTGAAGTCAGAGGGGTTTTGAGTCAGTGATGTTTTGCTGGCAACTGAACCCAAATCCTCTGCAAGAGGCTGTAAGTGTGCTTAATGTCTAAACCATCTCTGCAGTCCTTGCTGGCCCTTTTAAAACATATTTTATTATTTATTTTACCTCCTACTCTTTTCATAACATAGGAGTCCCAAGCAGAAGCAAGGCTTTTGTTTTGCTTTTTTTTTATTTTTTTTTGTTTTTTAAGACAGGGTTTCTCTGTGGCTTTGGAGGCTGTCCTGGAACTAGCTCTTGTAGACCAGTCTGGTCTCAAACTCACAGAGATCCGCCTGCCTCTGCCCCCCAAGTGCTAGGATTAAAGGCATGTGCCACCACCGCCCAGCAAAATCGGAGTTAGTAAAGGCAGAAGGGTCACATACACATAGATCTTCCTATTGCCTGAGGAGAGGAAAGGGGTTTGTTTATTGTTTTTGAGATATCTGTATATAGTTTTGGTTGTCCAAAAACTCACTATGCAGACCAGGCTAGCCTCAAATTTACAGAGGCCCTTCTGTCTCTGCTAATGAGTGCTAGGATTAAAGTCATGTACCAATAAGCCTGGCTACAATCTCTTTATTCCTAGACCATCCAACTAGAGTCTTCTGTAGCATTTTCCTGTTCCTTACCAAACACACAAGGCACAGGGGAAGAAGAAAGAGAGAGAAAAGCCCTTACCCATGGAGTAGAGGTTGTCAAAGCTCTGGTGCATGCGGATAATTTCATAGTAAAGCTCATCGTAGCTGCTGGGGGTCGGCAGGAATGTGTCACCATATGTGATAAACATATTAAACAGGTTCACAATCTGAAAAAGAAGCAATAGCCCATATACAAGCATCAGTCTGTGAAGATCAGGAAAACATGGAATGTTACAGTCATCTCTTACTGGTTTGTAAAAACTACAAAATTTAGGGACTTTGTAAACTGGCTGTAAAATAATCATTATTAAAAATTCATTAATATAAATTAATTTAATATTAAATTAATATAATATCCACAGCTTTGTATCTCTTACTTATTCTCTACCTTTATTCTTATCTATATTCTGAAAACTAGCTTATACATGTGTGAAGTGACTATCATATAATAGGCTGCTACCATACATCTCAGCCAGGCATGACTCTGTTGTTATGCTGAGAGCTGAAAATTGCCATGGTCCTACAATTAGCAGATACTTTCATCCCCACCAAATACTCCACATTTACAAGCTGGGTAAACAAATGGTTCGGGGGTCTCTTTCTCCCTGAATTACCAGCCAGATAAGCATTTCTATGTGCCCCCCAGAAGCCAAGTGCAGCAATGATGGAACCACTTACCTGGCTGCGAAGCCCTTAGAGACTGCAATAGTACAGTATAGTTTCTCACTGAGCCCAAGCTCAGTATCCATTCAGAGATGTGACCTGAATGAATGCCTCGCAGGCCAAATACATGCAGAAGAGTAAGGATCACCAGGTTAAGACTCTGATCCATAAGGAAAATCCTGCGTAGATGCCAGACCTCGGTTCCTATTACAAGCCAGTCCATTTCTACCTTACTATAATGGCTTCACAAGAACAAATATTTTTATTAATACTCACCATAAGGGCCAATGTAAAAATGTTGTGTTTGGCCAAAAGTACAGTTTCATTTGACATAAGGAACTTCAGCAAGTTTATCAAGGCTTTAAAGAAGAAAAAAGAAAAACAAATTATTTAACTAATAATCAATATAATCAGTAAGAGTAAGGGCTGGCAAGATGGCTCAGTGAGCAGAGGCATTTGCTACCAAGTATGATGACTTCTGTGATTGCAGCATGCACACAGTAGGAGAGTGCTGCCATCTAACCTCCACACGTGTCCACATACATACAGACACACACACATAAAAGAAATGTAAAGCAGACTCGCTCTATAGAAATCCACAGGCCTGAAGTGAGTCCCAGCAACCAAGGCCTTTTTGTATTGTTAGTGTGTGTGTGTGTACATGTAAAATAGGCTGTTACGAAACACTGCCACTTCACTGTAGTATAGAACACTAGCATCTACTTTTTTCTATCCAGCTGCCATTTGGTGTCGACTACTCAACAGTTCTCCACCCTCCCCCAATTACCAGCATCTAGTAATCACTGATCTTCATCAAGACCAACATTTTTTAAACTTCTATATCCGAGGAAGAACACGGTATTTGTCTGTCTGTGTCTGGCTTATTTAACTTGACATATATACTCCAATTCCATCCCACTTTCTATGTGGCTACAAATGACAGGATTCGATTCTTTCTTAGACTAAGTAATTTCCCACTCCTATAATTTTTTCTTTGTTGGGAAGGGGGAGCTGTTGTGGTTTGAATGAAAATACCTCCCCCAAATAGGCTATTATGTTGGGATACTTGGTCCCCAACTGGTGTCTCTCTGCTTCCTGCTTTTGGATCAAGATGTGAGCTCTCAGCTGTTCCCATCATGCTATGCATTTGCACAGCCAATGGACTCTTAGGCTGACTAGTTTTATGTCAACTTGACATACATTAGAGTCATCCGAGAGAAGTGAGTCTCAACTGAGGAATGCTTCCAGAAGACTGGGCTGTAGGCAAGTCTGCAAGGCATTCTCTTAATCAGTGACTGATGTGGGAGGGCCCAGAACATTTTAGGTGGTGCCACCTCTGGGCTGCAGATTGAGCAATCCAGCAAGCAGCCTCCTCCATGGCCTCTGCATCAGTTCCTGCCTCCAAGTTCCTGCCTGTTTTTGTTCCTGTCCTGACTTCCTTTGATGATGAACTGTCATGCGAAAGCATAGGCCAAATAAACCCTCTCCTCACAAAGATGCTTTAGTCATGGCGTTTCGTAACAGCAATAGTAACCCTGGCTAAGACAACTCTAAACTCTGAAACTATAAGGCCAATAACATGCTTTCTTTTATAAGCTGCCTTAGTCATGGTGTTTTGCCACAGCAATAGAAAAGGAAGACAAGAACAGAAGACAGAGTCTGGCTCACAGCCCATGCTGGCCTCAAACTCAGAATCCTTCAGCTTCTGTCCCTGAGTGCTGGGATTATAGACATGCCTACTATACCATGTAAGCTTATGTGTGTGAATACAAAAACATACGTGGGGGGAGGCAGGCTGAGCTCCAACTCTCAATATAGGCGACAATGAAACTTGTTTTGAATGAGCCCAGGACCATGTTCACCCTAAGTATGTGTTCTACCACTGAGCTACCCCTGCAGACCCTGCCCATTTTTAACTACACTTCCTGTCCCTTCCCCCATCCATTTGTGTAAAGAGAATTTCACGTAGCCCAGACCAGCCTCAAACTGGTTTATATAGAGACTGGAGTGGAACTCCTGACCCTTCTGCCTCCCAAGTGTTAAGATTACCACACCTGGCCCTCTTGTTCACTTTTAAATTGTATTGTTTTCTTAAGTTTTCGAGTTTCATATACATTTTTGGCATTAATCTTTTGTCAGGGGCTGGAGAGATGGATCAGTAGTTAAGAGCCTATGCTGCTCTTATAGGGGACCCCACTTTGTCTCCCAGCACCCATTAGAAGGGGTGCTCTCACAACTTCCATAACTCCAGCTCCAATGGAATCCAATCCTCTGGCTCCTGCCAGCACCTGCATTCGTGTGGAAAGACCACCACACATACACATACTTTCTGTTAACAAAAATAAATCTTTTTTTTAAGACAGAATCTTACTATGTAGCTCTGACTGGCCTAGAACTTGCTATTTCATCTAGAGTGGCCTTAAACTAACAAAGATCCTCCTGACTCTCCTTCCCCAGTGCTGAGATTAAAGGCTTCTACCACCATATCCAGCTTAAAAAATAAATCTTTAAAATAAAAGTCTTTAGACTTTTCTCAGATGAACAGTTTGACAATTTCTCTCCCATTTTGTAGGTTGTCCATGTTGCTTTTATTTTTGCTATGTATAGTCTAATATAATCCTATTTGCCCTTTTTTGCTTTTATTGTATTTAGTCTTGGGTCTTTTATTTATTTCCAATAGTGGAGACTGTAATTAGGGCTTTGTACCTGCTAGGTGAGTCTCTACTACCCACTACTACTTAGAGAGAGAGACAGAGACAGAGACAGAGAGACAGAGAGAGAGACAGAGAGAAGAGAGAGAGACAAGAGAGACAGAGAGAGGTTTATGGATATGTGATGTATGTTCAGGTTTGTTCAAGCCAAGGTATGTAAGCATGGAGATGAGAAGACAGTCTTGGGTGTCTGCATCTTGACTGTCTGTCTCTACATAAAGGCTCTGGGGACTCTGCTGTCTCTAGCATCTCATCTGGAAGCTGGAGTGTTGGGACTGTAGACACGTGCTGAACTTTTATCTGTGCTCTGGTTATCCAGACTTAGGTCCTCACACTTCAGCAAGCTCTTTAGACACTGAAACATATCCCCAGCTCTTCATTTTCATTTTGAGACAGAGCCTCCTATGTTGCCCATGCTGGCCTTAAACTTACTCTGCAGGATGCTTTGATTTGGCTTTCTGAATAGATGGAATAACAGGCCTATGTCACCAGGACCAAGGTCTTTTAAAAGCTGACTAAAGTCTGTGTAATGCAGCTCAATTGTAGACAGTTTGCCTAGCATAGATAAGGCCTGGTTCAGTCTCTAGAACAGACAAACTGGTATATTTAAGAAAAGTGGACCAGTGTGGTATCACACACCTGTGCTACAGCTACATAGGAGCTCAAGGCCAGCCTGGGCTAAATGACACCATGTCTTTTTTAAAAGAAGAAAGCAAAGCACTACTCTTCCAGGCGCTTGTCTGCTTATCTGCCCATGTAAGGCTTTAGAACTCTCCTTCTCTTTGTCACTTCTTACAAGCAATTAAGCTCAGAAATGTGACTGCTCAACTGTCATTTTGGTGTTTTAAATTCCCTCCCACGTGGTGATTTCCCCATCAAACTTTCTCAATTTACAAGTAAAACTAAGGACCCCTTCCCCCTCAGCCTGCTAGAGCATCTACTGTCAACAGGTTTCAGAATCATGTCTGTTTCAAACGTCACTGCTGGAAGGGCCGTGTATATATTCTAAGTGGTCCCCAGATGTGGCAGCTACATTGCAGAACCAGCAGCTGTGCTCCTACGCCATGCAAAGGCAGCTCATGAAAAGGCAAGGGAAAGTTCTGCCAGCTGTGGTGGCACACACGCATGATCCCAGCTATTTTGGAGGAGGGCAGAAGCAGGCTGATCCAAAGTTTAGGCCTACAGAGGCATAGGCAGGAGGACTGTTGTGAGCTATAGGCTACCTGACCTATAATGAGTTATAGGCCAGCACAGGTTATTGAATGAGACCTTTTCTCAACACCCGCACCCCCCCAGCATGTCCTAGAAATATAGCTCAACTGTAGAGCACCTACCTAGTGTACATGTGTCTATGTTCAACCCCTAGTACCATGACAAGAAAAAAATGCCTTTTAATTAAAATCTTTTTTTTTTTTTTTTTTTTTTTTTTTTTTTTTTGGTTTTTCGAGACAGGATTTCTCTGTGGCTTTGGAGGCTGTCCTGGAATTTGCTTGGTAGTCCAGGCTGGTCTCGAACTCACAGAGATCTGCCTGCCTCTGCCTCCCGAGTGCTGGGATTAAAGGCGTGCATCACCAACGCCCAGCTTATTAAAATCTTTAATGATGTTTCTCATTGTATATATGTACATATGAGCCTGCATGCCCCTGTAGCTAGTAGAGTTAGGGACAACTGTTCTGGGAATCAAATGCCAGTCCTCTCCAAGAGCAGTTAGCATTCATAATCAATCAGCAACATTTAGGCCCAGAGTGGGTAAAGTCATAAGTATTCTAGCTGCTCAAACAAAAGTGTGGCTTGCTCTGTTCACTCTGACAGCAACATCATTTACCAGAAAGAGTTTAATGTACCAGACAGTCAGGGAAGAGACTGCCTAACTGAAGCAATCTTGATGAACAAGAAGTCCTGTCAAGCCCCTGGGATAACTTCACAGCACTAAAGACCTTTGTGCATAAGAAATTTTCAGTTGCCTTGTACTTGTTCACCCAGGACAGTGGTTCTCAACCTTCCTAATGCTGCCACCCTTTAATACAGTTCCTCATCGTGTGGTGACCCACTGACCATAAAATTATTTTGTTGCTGCTTCATAACTGTAATTTTGCTACCATTATGAAACGCAATGTAAGTATCTGTGTTTCCCAATAGTCTTAGGTGACCCCTGTGAAAAGGTCCTTTGACCACCAAAGGGGTCTTGACCCACAGGTTGACCTAGGACATCTGTGTATGGATCAAATCCAACTTCTGTGTCCATCCTGCCTTGCCCTTCACCTAATACTATCCTTGGTGGGAAAGAAGGAAATGGGCTAGAGTCCTCTATTGCCCTAACCCTCCTTTGTCTCCACCCCTGAACCTGACACTCGTTTTCTTGGCTAGGCTGAAAAACATCAGGATTAGTCCTGTCTCTGCCCACTGCTACCCCTCCAGCCCCACCCTCAGGGCTGGAGTTACAGGAATGCATAGTACTGTCAGTGAATACTGGGATTTCAACTCCTCATAATTGTGCAGCAAGGTCTCTTAATTGCTAAGCCATCTCTCTGCACCCTAATTTAATTAACTTTCTGAGACAAGATCTCAAGGTAACCCAGGCGGACCTGGAATTCACAATCTTCCTGCCTCTGCCTCCCCACCAAGTCCTGGGAATACGGGGAGCACAC